AGAGATGACACAGCTACCAAGGTAAGTAAACCAATCCACCACTTTCAGTGGCTGTTCGGATATAACTAAGACCGGAGGTATGTCCTAGGTTCGGATACGACACACACGGTAAAAGTTAAGAGATCAAGTTTGGTAAATACGTGTGTTGTCTTACCTGCTATAGAGCCCGGGCATGGAACGCAATCAGAGTGGAATTAGTATGCGGATTTTCGATGGAAGGAGAACAACAGTAAGTGCGGTGATAATATGCATGTAGAGGACAAAAAGTGTGTTTGCGTGATCCCACAGCTTTACTTATCTGTGCTGAGGATAACGGATGGATTTTTACAAAGGGACATGGGAAACAGAATAACTGAACAGGCGGGGCAGGTTAAAGAGAATAAAGTGAGGCATCCGAAGCAGCATGCGATCCTTTATCGTCAGCGTACCGCTGGCAACGTGACGCTTTTGACAATGGGCACAGCAGCCAATACAAGAGTGGTTCAAAGTTAGATGTGACAATGATGCCACAGTATGTAAATCTAGCAAAATAACAATTGGCGTTGATTGCAGGGACCAGTGGGAAGCACTCGCAGTGTGTGAATGGATTGCGACGCGCAGTCGCAATGTGGACAGGGGTTGACACATTGCGGTGCAACATTGTCGATTCGGTTAATGGAAAAGTAACTAATGAATTAGATGGATAATTGGTGTTACTTGCCTGAAAACACTGGGGTTATCAGTTGAAGGCACCGACACAAAGTCTGACCGCAAATGAATGAGAATTAAGGAAAACCTCACAAAGCTAGCCATTTCTAAGGGGATAAGTGGCATCTAGTCCCGCTCCAAACCTGGAGGGCCAAGAGCTGGAGTCGGTTCAACACCTAACTCGGTATGTGTCACACCAAAAGTGCTCAGAAGACCGCTTGGTATATTTGAATGGATTGCAAGACCCTCATGTCACGTCAAAACCCAGTCATGTAATGTCATCCATACTAATAGCAGTTGCGTTTCCAAGATAGCGAGCATCGTTCTGTTGCACTAATGAACACCATTCATTCATTCATTATACACCTTAGCTGCAGGGGGAAAAGAACTCAGCTATTGTGCCGAAATACCAAGGACAAGAAGAAGAAAAATACAGCAGCAACAAAGGTACGCCGGCTGAGCTCACAGTAACGAACAATGTGAACAATGCCCTTACACCTTAGCATTCCACCGATGGGATTGTTTCCACCACCCCTTAGTTTACTTCTTTTCCTGTCATTTCTGATTTCCAATCATTGGAAGTACTCACAGAAAACGTTTTTGTGCACACTACATTTTCACTTATACTAATTAACGCAAGATCCATAAAAAACAAGATGCATTTTGTAAGCATGCTTACTCAGCTGAGCACTCCACATGTAATCTTCGTCGCCGAAACATGGTGCGCCTTTGATACATTGGATGCTACTTTAGATATTCCTAACTACTATCTATTACGAAAAGATCGCAGCACAAAGAAAGGCGGCAGATATACCGTCTATTTCCATCGGAACGTCAGAGCGGAGTTCATTGATGACCCACAGTTAAACAATATCCCAGAATCTCTATGGCTATCAGACGCCGCAGCCTCCTCTACAATACTTCTCGGTTGCATCTACAACCCTCCGAAAGCAACAGCCAAGGATATCGCAATTAGCTCCTTGGCTTTTGCCTTGCATATGTGTTACCAGACGGTCTAAAGATAATCCCTGGTGATTTCAATCTACCGAATATTACTTGGTCACCACAAACATCCTCATCATTACCTGGATCTTTGTTATCGACTATCAAAGTTGGGGGTTGGACTCAGTGGGTTACCAGACCAACTAGGTCTGCCAACATTCTGAATTTAATCTTCACCCCAAGGATTCCTGACGCACAAATTGACATCTTAGACAATTTTTCGGGTACTGACCACAACATGCTACGCCTCTCCATCCACTTGGAAATGAATACCAAACTCGACTCACCTACCCAGCATACTATACGAAGGATTGACTGGGAGCATTTCGGAAAGCAGAACCGGTCCTCTAACTGGGATGGGTTTTTTTCTCTCCATTAGCGCCCATGTAAACATTTCTACTACCAGATCAATGGCATCATAACTGTACTTGTCCCACATTATAAACGTGCCATTCCTTGTCCTATGAATGTAAGCGGCACTCTGAGTGACCTGAAAACGAGAAAACTACTCGGGAACTTCAGAAAAACTAGAGGCTTCTTACTAGTATTACAGCTACACGAATCCACCGCTTACATCAAGCGCTCACAAATGAAACGGATTGAAAAGGAGGAGGAAAACGCCTTGCAAGTGACGTGCAAAGGAAAGGGACTGGACAGATTACTCCGTCATAGCATTAGTGATAGGATGCCTTTGATTACAGATCTTATTGATGAGGATGGTCGCCACCTTAACGATCCACCTGCTATTTGTGAAGCGTTTAGCCCTTTTTTGCTGCTTCCATGAACGTAGAAACCGACCGTACACCTTGCTGCCCGGAACTTACAACAAGCGGCATAGATAAGGTAAAGATTTCTTTTTCGAGCATCCAACAGGCTATGAAGTACATCAAACCAGCGCTCAAACCAGACTGCGATGGTATCCCTCCATCAGTTATTAAACTCGGGGGACCTGACATGCCGTTGCTTTTGCTGAACATGTTCACCTTGTCCTTAGAATCTAGCTACTTTCCGGATCAGTGGAAAACATCTGTTATTGTCCCTCGTCATAAAGGGGACCTAAACGGCATGTCACCAATTATCGACCTATCCATCATACTACCGTCATCACCAGATTGCTTGAAAAATTAGGTAAAACTGGAAACATGGACTTTATCCATCGTCATAGGCTACTTAACAAATCTGAGCATGAGTTCCTCGATAAAAGTTCCTATACAACGTGTCGGTTGCATTACCTGGATTATATCACAGAACCGATTGATGCGAAATATGCAGTTATAATACTGTTCCTGGATATGTAGAAAGCATTCGACAGAATGCCCCACAAGCGGTTACTGAAAAGAATCGAGTCGGTTGGAATCAGAGACCCACTATTTGGTTGGTTGACATCATACATAAATGAGCGTTACCAGATGGTCCCTCTGGGTAATCATAACTCCCCCCACGTGCAATCACTAGTGGTGTCATCCAAGGGAGTGTAGTTGGTCCTTCTCTTTTTCTACTTTATATTAACGATATAACGGTGTTCATAAAACATGGCAGGCCCTTTTTGTTCGCCGATGACATAAAGACTGTTTATAAAGTTCGAGGAGACGAACTTCGTAGAGCAAGGCTGCTCGTTCAAGAAGACCTTGATTCACTTGAGAAATGGTGTATCACATGGATGCTAAATTTCTCAGCTAGTAAATCATGCATTAGGTCACACGGATGTTTAATTCCTGAAGAGTCTGTTAAATTTAAGAATGAACATACCTGTGTGAAACTATATAACTGTGGTCTGGGCATACGATACTCTTCAAACTTTAATTGCTCAGAGCAAGCTGAGTATCAAATAGCACGTGCCAAACGATCTGTGGCTAACATATGCCATAAAATCTATACAACCCCTGCCAGACTCGAGCTTTGCAAAATACGTACACTTCCTGTCCTTGAATAATGCAGCATCATCTATAGGAACATGCTTTTGGGTGACAGGAAAGCTTGGGAAAATCTTCAAAGATCAATCACTTAGCGCTTTTTTAGTAAATCAACCACCTTTAGTTATCATGAGCGCTGCCAGCAGCTTAAGCTCGAACACTTTTGGTTGCAACTACTGAAACATAACCTGATGCAGACACACATATCATAAACCAAATGACATACTCCAATCTGTGTACACTTGAAACGCAACATAACTTCACTCAGAATATACGCAACAAGACCTGTACATTATGTGTGCCGAGAACCAGGAGAGCTATTCGATCAAACTTTTCCTCGTCAGATATGCTACCAGCCACAATCAGGTCTTGCACAAATGCAAGAACATTCCACATTCAGCTTAGTACATTCCTGGATCAGAACACGATAATGATCATGTTTCCATCGGGCAAATCACCACACGAGTTCTTCGAGGATGGACCAAGGAACATATAATCAGTGATCAAAGATAGTACAATAAACTCATCAACAAGAAAACTTATGTGATTCCAAATTATTTTGAGATCATACACCCATAATACATGTCTCACTCATACATGAGCATGATAATTATTATACCCATGATCTGTCCACAATCCAGGCACAGCTGCTCGTACCATCGGGAAATATACGTATTATTATTATTGTTGTTATTAGTATTATTATTAGTATTATTATCTTTCCGGAGAACTACCAGTCTGTTATCGTGCCGCAAAAAGTGAATTATATTATACCAAACGCATGAGGTCGTGGTTTGAGAGGGAGGTTAAGCTGGAGGTAAATGGAAAAAGGAACTCAAAACACAAACGCCAAGGGCCGTGCCAGCAAGTGTATCCAACCAAATGTGTTCATCATCCTTAGGACACCAGCCAGGCAGTCGGGAGGCACTAATCAACGCCAAATCCGAAGTGAGGGTTTTCATTTCTTTCGAGTAAGCCATCGTTTGGCTTCCCCTCCTACCCTTCCAACCGCCCCCCGGCGCGCGAACAATGAACATTGAGGAAACCAATGAACACCAGTCGCACACAGCTTAATAAGTTATAAAGCGAAAAACGTCGGTTATCGTGGTATGTTATATCAGTCTGCGATGGGAGCTTTAAAAATGAACAGAATAACCTTAATACAGCTGGGCTTTTTGTAGTCGAAGCAGACACCGCATGGGTAAATCATTGATCTTTCAGAGCAGCTGGAAGAATACACGCTAAGATGCTTTAGGCATTCCAAATGAAAAGTTAGGTAAGTTTGCTCCAAGATCAAAATGGCATAATTGCAGCACAGCGAAGCAACTTGACGATATTCAGTCTAAATGCAAGTTCGGGGAGATAAATTCGTTTGGTGGAAGTTACAACTGGACTTACATAAAGCGAAGAGCACGTTGCTCACCGAACGCCCCAAAGAATGGTGCAGCATATGTGATTAGCCAGTCCTTTACCATACCGTTGCAGTCAAAGTATGGCTGAGTCCAGTAACCGTCTTCGTAGTACGGGACACGGTAGTAAATGGGAAAAGTGAAGTAGCGCTGCAACTGAGTACCGTTCACGTCACTCCGAATGTATGGCTTAGTGGTAATTCGTTCCAACCCACTTCGACTGGACGCCCAACGATCCTAACGGGAAATGTTTAAAAACTGGGAGGTAACAGCTGACATAATGTGGTTACGCGATTCTGGAATACCAGCTTGTAAGCATAAAGTGACAAACTCGCAAATTAAGGTGTGTACAGTATTTATGGTATTGATAAATTGGATCAGGATATTGTGAATGGTGATTTGCCTGGAAACGAAAACACATCGAACCAGAAGCGAGTGTACACACCTGAGCGCTTCGATACCACGCCGCTGCTGTCCGAGAGTTTCCGCGCGTTTTGACACTGGTATCGCATGAAAGCTGGGCTGCTGCAGTAAAGATAGAAGTGTTGCTCGCCAACTTTTAAAAGGCTTTTGATACTACTCTTCCCTTACGGCTCTGCTTAAAGCCGAGAAGCTACGTGGTGTATTGCCGCATACTTAAAATGGTGTCGGCACGTTTGATTGGGAAGGAATAGTATGTACTCGTGGGACGCGTCTTAAGGCAATGTGGTGCGTCTCCAACAAGCCGCCGGCTTGGTTTACCTACTGGTTGCTGTTAATAACTCAATCAGTCTCCTTCGACGCATTGCATTACCAACAAATAGGTAGGTAACTGACAGGAATGAAACCGCACGTGTCAGTTAGTAACTTGGTGTAGGTATATAGGTTTCAGGAACATCTTTCTGGTGAATTGCGCGTCAAATCTATACTCCACACACTGAGAGATCACGGACTTGGAGAACATCACCACGCTGTGATAAGCATAGAGGCCCTGGCTCGCTTGTAGATTAGCGTAGTTGACCACGCGAGTAAGGGGGATCTTAGAGATTCATCGGAGAACCCGGATTCGATTGCGTCTCACGAGGATGCTGACCTTTTTCGTTGTGATCTAGCGGAGTTCGGTGCCGCCTTCCGTCTGGCCCAACTCTTAGTAGAGGTGAACCATTTGTCCTCGAAGTACGCCTGCACAGATCCTACCGTTACAAGTGATGCACTGGTGACATATATATGGTGCAAAGCTTTGAAAATGAATCTGTGAGTCATTTTGATCCTCTGTGTTTCTCATTGATCTTTTTGGCGTTTGTGTCGCTCGCTTTTCGGAACTGGTTAGGAAAGTGCCGATAACAATTGGCTATTCAACATTTTCACACCTCAGTACTTGTTGGAACGAATGTGTCTAAGTAGCGTAGTCTGTGCATGGTCAAGTCACGTGTTATTCTGTACTATATATATATATATATATATATATATATATATATATATATATCTTCCCCACTGCCATGTGGGTAAGGCTATTGAGCCAAAGGCTCCGAGTGGAGTCCCTTAAGCAAACCTCCGAAGCACAACAACCACCTCGCGTGCGATTGCCCACCAATGCAATCGTATGCCTCCACGCAAAGCACTCAGCATCGGGTGCTGGAACGTGTGCACACTACTGAACCGGAACTCCAGCAAGCGCCCGGAGCGACGCATTGCACTGGTCGCGATGGAACTGGCGTGCTACCACTTGATATTGCGGCGCTCAGTGAAACTCGGCTCGCTGAACAAGGTAAGTTGCATGAAGCAGGTACTGACTACATATTCTACTGGGTGGACAACGCCACCTCAGCACCAAGTGATCATAGGGTCGGATTTGCAATATCCGATCGCCTCCATGGCCTGCTGGTGGGTGAACCAACAGCCATCAGTGCGCGACTGATGCCTGTTCGCCTAAGACTCGAAAGAAGTAAGTTTGCCACTTTTATAAGCACATACAGTCCGATCATGTGTTATCACGAGGACATGCGTAATCCATGCTACACTCAGCTATCCTCCGTTATACAGTCTGAGTCGAGGAGCGACCGACTATTTCTGCTGGGTGATTTCAACGCGTGCGTTGGGCGTGATGCACCGGTGTGGACAGATGTTATCGGTCCGCATGGCATTGGTTCAGCGAATGCGAACGGTGACAGGCTGCTCTTACTGTGCGCCACTCACGGCCTGACGATCACGCACACTCGGTTTGCACTGAGTGCGAGTGATATAGCAAATTGCACGCAACCACGAAGTGCTCACGCTCACCTACTCGGCTATGTCCTCGTAACTCAGCGTGATATGCGTGAAGTGCGCATGACACGTGTACTGCGTGGAGCTGAGTGTGGCACTGATCACAAATTGGTTCGGACCAAACTGTACATATATTTTCGTAAATCTATGTATTGCACTCCCGCCGTGAATCGGCGTAAATTTAACATTCTCTCGCTCGGTACTGTGGCGAAACGTACTGAGCTGGAGAAGACGATGACTGCATGCCTGTGTGATGTGGACTGCATAGCCACAGTGGGCGACCTGTGGCGCCACATTCGCGACCAGGTGACAGCTGCTGCCGAGGAGACCATCCGGTGCGCAAACTGTAGGCGGCCTGATTGATTTGATAAGAACGATGCAACGATTGGCGCATTGGTGTCTGAGAAGTATGAGTCTGCCTAACCCTGATCCATAGGGTAACAGTAGTCGGATGCAAGGAGAGCAGGCCGTTGAATATAGGTATTAGTATTAAAGGAGAGCATCGGCAGAATACGCATGTTCAGGAAGAAAGGGGACATAGCAGTAAAGTTTAATTAGGGCCAGCAATGCATTTCAGTTAAGGGTTACAGGGCGTTATGTCAGCGTTAAGGAGTGTCATAAGAAAAGAAGCTTTCGAGACGAAAGTCACTATATAAAGAGCCATTGACTCTAATCAATCAGTTGTCATTCTTTACCTTGATATGCAAAAGGCGTTTGACAGGGTACCACACATGCGCCTGATGCATAAGCTAAAGGCTTATGGGGTAGAAGGTCCTCTATTAGACTGGTTTGGTTCCTACTTAATAGGACGTACGCAGTCTGTTAAGGTTGAACAAACTATATCCACCCCGACCGCCGTCCCCAGTGGCGTGGTGCAGGGAAGTGTCCTTGGCCCTACCCTATTTTTGATTTATATCAATGACCTCTGCAAGATTTTGCAACACGGTCGCTCCTTTATCTTTGCTGACGATGTGAAAGTTGTCTACGACTTTCCCCGTGGCAATGAATTTTCCGCAATAAATAGTATCCGTGAGGATCTTAATGCACTTGAAAAGTGGTGCGAACACTGGCAAATGACCTTCTCCGCTCAAAAATCTAACGTCATGACCCACAGATTCTCTATACCTGCTGGGTCCCTAACAATAAACGGCAGCACTATCAAACAGGATATCATAACAACAGATCTGGGCTTGCGCTACTCTATGAGCCTCAACTTTGCAGAGCAAGTGCATTATCAAGTCGCAAGGGTAAGAGGATTATCGTTCCACATACGCCGTTACATAGAAAACGCCGATGCTAGGCTAGAACTTTATAAGAGTCACGTCAGGCCACATCTAGAATATTGCTCTTTTATATGCAGCAATCTACGTAAGTCAGACCGTGTTCTGCTTGAGAAAGCTCAGCGACGCTTTACGAAGATGTTGACTCCACCGCAGCAAGCGCTGAATTACCGACAAAGGTGTGAACACCTTAAAATTCAGCCCCTATGGCAAAGGCGCATTATCCTTAACATGTGCTTCTTACATAAGCTAATTCATAGAAAGTTGCACAGTAATATCACTTGTCTTAAACTAAGGAGCGCGTCTGAATCGAGACTCCGAAACAGGGGCCATTCCATTACTCCGCTAAAGGCAAAGAAAAGACTGCGGTCTCGTTTCTTCTTGGTTGTGTACGTGAACATGTGGAACAGGTTGCCTTCCAGAATAAGAGAAATCCAAAATTTGCAGGTCTTCAGGAAGGAGATACAAAAATTCCTATGTTTTGGTAATCTACAAAGCATCTTCCATATCTGCGATTCGCAAGACCACTTCTTTGAAACTGGCCCTGATGTAGCTTGAGGACGCCCAAGATGTAGTGCAAGACATCTAAGCACCTTGAGCTCAAAACTCATCCACATTCATTGTGGTTACCATTCTAGCACCTAAGAGACTTGCACGGTATCCGTCGCACCCATTTTCCAGGGTTTAAGAATAGCAAACGGAATACAATATGATCTTATTCTTCAACGACCTCTTCCTTCAATCCTTATTTCTTATCTACATCTTCATTCCTTCTCTTCAGACTTACATTTATCACTTTCCAACCTCTTGACCACTGGATCCGTGGAAAAAGTATTAGGCTTATGACCTCCATGGTACTCCTAGTAAACGCATGCTACCAGACCTAAGCCTTGCATAAGATGATGAAAGCGTTTTCTGCTGCTGATGCACCCAAGCTTAGCATTAGAATTGTCCAAAATCGTCTAAATGCCGGCTTTAAATGAACCTTTATGTGTCTTCCTAGATGTCGGTTGCCAGCGGGCCCTAATTGAAGCTTTTTCATTAAGTCTGAGCACTAGTTACTATACTCAGCAGTTTCCAAACACTATCAGTAGGTAAACAGCAAAATAAAACATATATCTTTCTTATTGTTGACAAAGAGCGTACTTTGAAAGTTCTAGGCCCAAGAATCAGACATTTTGCTCTCCACTTATTCTCTCTTGGCCCCATATACTTAGCTTTATCTGGTATACATGTGCCTTTCGCTATTGGCAACACTAGTAGACAGTCATAATGAAAACCAGATCCTCTTCTTTAACTGCTTTTGCTCGTAAAACACTCTCATTTCCAGATTTCATTTCACTGGCACGAAAGCCAACCAACGACAGAGAGGCCCCTGTCACACTGGCTGGCTGGAGCACCAGAAACTTTCCACCACCACTTTTCTTATCTTGGCCGCCCGTGTATCATTTATCTTTTAGCTGGCTCCAAAGCCTACCATGCGTTATGCGTAATGGTGGGTGAACGACCAGCTCCCACTGGTTTTTGTTACTATTCTACTCCTGATTTACCTTATCGCTCTTTGCTTCGGGTGCTAGAACAGCTCTTGCCAGGCAAATCACAAAAGAAATAGTCGGCGTGACATTAGAGTAACAGTTAACATTGCCATCTGGATGAACACCGCCGGCACTATCTTCGGAACTTAAGAACGGAGAGAAATAAATCAAAATTCATCAAAGAGCTGCACAATAGTGTGCATCTACACACGAGGCATAACAATAACTCAAGTGTGAGCAAGCTCAACCACCAGAAGTAGAGCTGTTAAAGCCCAACCAATGTAGACCAAAACGGATTTCACGCCCAAATGCAATTAGCTAAATTTTACTAAATTTTCCCATGCTTATTTCTTTATTATTGGTGACAGGCTCCTGTAGCTCACTGATGTTAGTGACAGAGCCTCATGAACATAGAAAATCGGCTCTAAGGGATAAATCTTGTGATGTTTAGCCAAGTAATGTGTCTATTTTGCAGGCCGAAATCTGTCAGCCGATCTGAAAGACCCCCTGGTTTACTCAGGTAGACCTGGCTCATGCGGTCTTGTTATAAGCTTTAGTAAAGCTTAGAGGCTTAAAAAATGCTAAACTCTATTTTACTGGTTGTTTATGTGGCTCAGTATCCCCTGAAAACGGTATGCCGTGGCCTTCTAACCGTGAGTTAATTACAGGCTCCCCTGAATTCCCATGTAGATATAATATTCCTTGCTGGATTTCTAGTGTTTTCGCGCAAAACCATCCCTTATTTGCATATATTTATCATGTATGCCTACAAAGTTTACTTTTCGGCCACCTGCGCAGCCCGTAGTTGTCGCAGGGTATTACGGGCTAATTAGAGCATTTCTGGATAGCCATGCCCATCTAGATCATATGCCGCTTCCCTACTTTTTATGTTTTCTTTTCTTTTTTCTGCTATCTGCTTGCAAAGCAGAAAGCCATTTTTAGCGAAAAATAAAAATGGCCTTATTCGTAGACCATCATTTAATTGCGAATAACTCGCAAAATACTGCACGTATTGTGTTGCTTTTAAGTTCAGCGTATTCAGGCGCTAAAGCTGGTCCAGATCAGTGCAATTTTGTGCTACTTTAGGCGGTATTGTAACTGTAGAAGGGCATTTTCTTTTATCTGAGAATAACTCAGGTTGAAATTTTGCGCCGGAGAGCAATATCAGCGTAAGAAAAGTAGGGCTCTATTTTTTTGTTAATTGGTCTTTTTCTACTAAAGCGCGCGGATTTATTTACTCTCTTAACAAATTGTTTCTATTCTTGCCTGCATTTATCGAAATTTTTTTTAAACTTTTTGTATGCCTTATAATCCCTTCACTCATTTCTTCCATGTGCGCAACAACAATTGGGGCAACTGAGTGGCCAATTAATGTGCGATCAATTTAAAGTGAACTTTCGGCGAAATGGATTCTGTTCCAAGGAGAAAAGGCACAACTCCGCGAAGTTTTTCACAATAAAAGAACAAGGAGCTCAAGATCGCCCGAAGGAACCAGAAAACGTCAAGGTGGGCGCCTGATACCCAGTAGCTGTATACCAAACAGTGCCAATGCATTTGGAATTTCTAACGATGAACATATATTTATATTTTGCCTACTTCCATGCAAGAGCATCGGATTAATGTAAGCCTTGATCTGAACCCTTTAGGGTGCAGCCTCTAGCAGGTCTAGAAATATACCTATTTATTTATTAAGTTATTTCCCCCCCAAGGCGGATGTCTATAGTAAACAGTAAAAGTCATAAAGATGGCAGAGCACAGGAAGAAGGGAGCCGCACTTACTAGTAAAACTTCCGTATTTCCAGAAATCCTTTCACTGGCATGAAAGCTACCCATCGGCACAAAGACATCAGTCACACTGGTTGGCAGGGCATCCACAAAATTTGCACCACCACTACTCATCATCTCGGCTGTCTAGGCGTTATTTAACTTTTGCATGGCTCCAAAGCCTAACACGCCTTATGCTTAATAGCATGTGAACAACCAGCTGCCAATTATTTTTACCTATTTTCCTACTGTTCCTTTACATTTCCTTCTTTGCTTACGGTGCTAGAATAGCTCTCACTAGAAAAACCACTAAGCTTATGGCTGTTGCGTCGTCATAGTCCTAGTTAAGCTTGTTACCTTGATAAACACTGGCGACATTCACATCTGAAATACAATTGAGCAGAAAAGCTCGAAAAAAGCAGTAATGCACAAGATGGTGTAGCAACACATGAGGCACAATAATCCCTCATGTTCGAACAACTGCAACCCCAGAAGCCGAGTCGTTAATGCCCCAAAGAGGCAGAACCAATTGAACTGCACGCCACGAAGCAATTTGTTAATTTTCCGATACTCCGGTTTTATTATTAGCAACAGTCTGCTCTAGCTCCCTATTGTTGGTGATCTATCAATATGGATAGATGAAATAGGTGCAACGCGAAAATTTCAAAATTTCTCTTAGAACGATGTGCGTTTCCTGGCCCAAACTTGTCAAATGATCCTTAAGAGCCCCTGTATTACCTGGGTAGGAGTTGCGCATGCATTCCTGGGCTGACTATCGCAAACAAATAGCGGCTAAAAAACTACAAAAGTACACCCATAGGGGTTTATGTGGCTCTGTATCATCCGAAAATGGCGCATGGAGGAAGGTTGACTGTGTGTTAATTATAAGTTGTCCTGAATTCTCTTGCATATATTACATGCCATACTGGATTACAAGCATTTCCGTGAAACATGGGCGCTTATTTTTCTATAGTTTCTATGCATGCATGAAGTTGCCTTTCTGCCACTTAAGTTGTGCCTAGACAGGGCAGAGATGTATGGCTATTTGGAAACTATACCGCCTCGCGAATTGTTACATTTGTTTTTCTTTCTCTGACCTCTGCATGCAAAGCAGGCCACATTTAGCGAAGTAAGATAAAGGCATTATTCGTAGACCGCCGTTCAAGCGAGAATAACACTCGAATTACTGCCTGTATCACGTTATTTTGCTGCTAACTTCCTTAGTATTTAAAACATGTGCCGCCTAGCTTAAAATCGCTATATTTTTCGTAATATTCGGGCCTTAGAAAAGGTATTTCTTTGGTAGTGGGTAAGTCTTCTAAAGGCTGTGGGGGACAAATTAAGGAGAAAATTGCAAGTAAATGTTTAAATCGTATGCAGCGCGGTTGCAAGCCAAAGGAAACGGGTAAAAAAGAATGTGTATATGGAGGGTGTTTGCCTTGACTGTTTTAATTTTGTCCTAGGACGTGCTCTGTTTGAATTTTGGCTCTGTAGATCGAATTCAACATGAATTCGTGTTTATAATTAACCTTAATTTATTTTTCTTTAGTTATATACGCCGCCTTAGTATTGCTCTCAAACAATAAATAAATAAATAAACAGGTATATTTCTAGCCCGGCTAGAGGCTGCACCCTTAAGGGTTCAGAGCAAGATTTACATTAATCCGACGCGTTTGCATGGAAGTAGGCAGAATACGAGTATATGTTCCTAGTTGGGAATTACAAATGCATTGGCATTGTTTGGTGTACAGCTACTGGGGTCGCAGGCGCCCACCTTGAAATTTTCCTGGTTCCTTCGGGCGATATTGAGCTCCTTGTTCTTTTGTTGTGAAAGCTGCGCAGAGCTGTAGTTGTGCCGTTTTTCTTTGGAACAGGATCCAATTCACCACAACTTCACTTTAAATTCATTGGACTTTTGTTGGCCCGCTCAGTCGCCACAATTGTTGGTGCGCACATGGAAGAAATGAGAGTGGCGGAATTGTAAGGGATAAGAAAAGTAAAAAAATAATTTCGAGAAATGCAGATGAAAATAAAAAGGATTTGTTAAGAGACATACTAAGGCAGCGTGCTTCACTAGAAACATACAAATTAACAAAAAATTTAGCCAAACTTTTCTTGCGCTGATATTGCTTTCTGGCGCGAAATTCTAACCTGAGTAAATCTCAGAAACAAAGAAAACCTTTTCTAAGGCTAGAATAATGCGTAAAGTAACACAACAATAGGCTGCTCCGAGCAAGTTTTAACCGCTGATTACGTTGAAAGTAAAAACAATGCAATAAGTGCAGTTGCTTGCGAGTTATTCGAAATTCAATAATGGGTTACGAATAAGGCCACTATTTTTTCGCGAAAAATGGCTTACGCTTGCAAGCGGATGTAGAAAAAGAAAATAAATGTAAAACGTAGCGAAGCGTTATATGGCCTAAACAGGCATAGCGATCCAGAAATGCTCTAAGTAGCCATAATACCCTGCAATAAATAGGGACTGCGTCGGTGGCCGAAAAGTACACTTTGCAGGCATGCGTGGCAGATATACGCAAACAAGCGATAATTTTGCGTCACCATACTAGAAAACATAGTAAGGAATTATTATGTCTGCATGGGTAATTCAGAGAGCTTTTAATTAACCCACGGTTAGAAGGCCTCAGCATAGCATTTTCAGTGGATTCTGAGCCACATAAACAACTAGGAATATAGAGTTTATTATTTTTTAGGCCTCTAAATGTTTCCGAAGCTTATATCAAGGCCGCATGAGCCGGGTCTACCAGAGTAACCCAGGCGACCTTTCCGATCAGTTGGCACAGTTTGGCCCGGATAATACACACATTTCTTGGCTAAACATGGCAAATTTTTTCCTTTAAAACAAATTTT